AAATAACAGCAAGCCCATCATCGAATGGAAAATAATCGCCGCGGAAACCGAGTTGCGGGGGAGCCGGGAGGGATTATTACAGGCGCTGGCAGTGGCGATGCTGTCAAGGAGCCTGTGTCAGCACTTCCATTACCACCCACCTGGTTTCAGCGCGGCCCCCGAAGCGGCGCACGGGGCCGCAGGGCCCCAGCATGGGGTCATTTCTATTCAGAAGAGTTTCAGATCAACTGGCTTTGATTGGGTTTAAATGATGGAGTGTTTAAGAGGGAGAGAGAGGAAATAGGAGGGCGAGATGGAGGGAGGCATCTCGGAGGAGGGGGAGTTTGGTACTCAGACAAGTGGAAAACAGTTTGAGATAGGACAAATCGGGAGTTGGGAAAGGAGAGCTGGTTCTCCTGGAGGCAAGTTTCAGATGACCGCAAGGAAGGACAGTGTGCGGAGAAGATATCCCAGCACCTGGGCAGATGTCCTGGGGTCTGCCCAGTGAAAGACTGTCAGGACCCAGCAGGGAATGTGCTCCCATCAGTGTCCCCTACCCACTGCCACCGCCTGTGCAACCCGTGGTGGCAGTCACTGGGAGGTACCTGGCTGTGCAATAAGCCACCAGCAGAACTGAGCTATTGAATTATAAACAATCTATTCCATTTGTTTGGCAACACGCTGAGCTCCTGGGGAGAGTGAGCCCTTATGCTTGTAAACTTGGCTCATTCAGAGTGACTTGGGAGCATCGTCTACTCCATGCTGGGTAGTGACGCGGGGCTGTATACATCACTGCTGTCACGGCTGTTGGCAAGTTGGGTCCCTTTTTCCCCACTTAAATTCTCTCCAAAACAGCATTTCCCATTCTGTTCATATGGGAAAGGCTCTCCCTATCAAGCCACCCGGTCCTGGCCTGCAAACACCTCATGATGCTGTCAGCCCTCCATCCCAAGGCACAGACAGAGGGTGGGAGAGGGGATGGCTTCATGCCTTCACACCTATTGGGTGCCACGCTTGCATCCCCGACACCTGGGTACCATTAGCATTTACTTTGTGCTGAATCACACCTGACTCAGAGGACTCAGGGGACTCATGTTGGATCGATATTGGTGTAAATGGGGGCAGGATCTGGCCCTCGATTCCCAGCAGGATCAGGAGGGTTCGGTTCAGTCCCCGCCTGGGCTGGGATCCATGCACAGACACCCTCCGACGGAGCCCGTGGACAAATTCCTCCACGCAGGGGTGCGTCTGCGCATCGAGCCCTCAGCTTTCAGAGCAGGAAATATTCGGTTTCAACACTTGGAGTTAAACATTTCCGCGGAGCCCAGGAGACCGTGCAAACAGCGGGAGCACCAAGGCTCTGCCTTTTCATCTCTCTGGCACTGGCGAGCGGGGGGTCAGCAGCGGGGGAAGCACGGCAGAGCCGAGGAGGGTAAACACTGGAGCTGAGCCTACTGAGTAACCAGAGAGCGAAGGGGAGAGAGAGGGGCAAAGAAAACAAAAACACAGCTGCCAAAAAACAAAAGCCTGAAAAGAGCCATTCAGGATCTCCCAGGAGCGGGTTTGGCACAGGGCAGGGAGGGAAGAGCGGGGAGCACTCGCTGCTGGGGCAGGCAAGGGTCCAGCCCACTTGGGGATATGGACCCTTCGTTTTGCCCTGGGCAAACCAATGCCCTCTGCTCCCTCGAGCAGGGCAAGCACCTACACCCCAGCGTGGTCCAGCCACACACACAGTGTGGCATCCTTTGCTTTATCATGGGTACCACGGTGTCCCTGCTCTGGAGAGGAGAGACGGGATATACGTACCTCCCTCCACTTTTGCATTCACAGCCAAAACCCAAGGACTCGCGATGCCCATCATCTCCCTCCCCACAACCCAGCATCCCACGCCACGGAGATGGGTACCGCTGCCCGACGTGACACACGGCAGCGTGGGTGTGTGCCAGGCTCTGGGGCACGCTGCGGATGCGGATGCCGCTGATTTGGGGAGACACGTCCCACCGACAGCTTCTGTGGCACTGCGGGCACACAGTGGGTTTCACAGACCTGGGGAGGCTTGCGTAGGTGTCCTGCTGGCACGGGAGATGATCCCTCCCTTCAGCCTGTCGCTCACACTTAGCCCTGCTCCTGAAAAAGCAGGGTTGTCAGCCCCTTGGGCCAGGAGTCAGGGCTCCTTCTGTCTGCTGCTTTGCAGTCTGTACATCAGGGACTTGGCTGCACGTCCTCATCCCTGTTCTCCTGCCCCTCTGGAAGCCCTTGCTTCAGTGCAAGCACCCACCTCCTGCACTCACTGGAGCACGGGGATTTTCCCCGGCTGTCACAGGGATGCAGGGTGACAGCTGTCACGTCCTTCCTTGGCATGAATTTGTCACCGTATCGTTGTAGCTGGTGGGTAAAGCCATTGCTGCTCATTTCTCCTGCTGGCCTGGACTGGGGTTGGGAGTGGCCGTGAAAGGGAGCAAGGTTTCTTCCCATGGCCTGAGATCCCTCCTGGTTGCTCCAGCCATTGAAATCCAAAGTCACCTCTGCTTAGGGACATGCACCCCACAGAAGAGCCCTGAAGAACAAGCAGGGAGCGAGGACCTGGGCGTGCAGGAGGTTAGAAAAGCCACCAGCCTGGTGCCATAGAGCTGGTCCCCAGGAGGGACACCAGCTGCACCTCCTGGACCAAAGCTGCCCAGCCCAGCGCTGCGGTCCAGGACACTCCATCACCTCCATCAGCAAACACATCCCCTGGAGATCAGAGACCCAGGGATGCTCTACCTCCAGTTCACCCTCCGGTGCTGCCGACAGCATCCCTGCCCCACCAGCCCAAGCTGTGGGTGGCAGACGGGGGGTGGAATTGGCGGGCCCCCCGGCGGTGGCCTGGGCTGGGAGCGGGGCTGCGGCGCGGTAGGGCGGAGGGCAGGCTGTTTACCCGTCCATCTGCACACCCCACAGCGGGGATCCAGCAGGATTTCCCGTCCGCTCAAAGGCTGCCTGTTTATTTTGGGAGGGAGGCTCAGACAGCTCCATTGTTTTGCTGCGAAGTTGGGGTTATAAATAGCAGGTGGTCGGGGACGCTCCTGGGCTATTTTGGGCCCCCACTACACAAAAGTGGAAAAGCTCCAAGAGGAAGGTGGAATTACTGAAATGCCGACCTTTCCCGCAAGGGTCAGCAGGAGCTGGTTGTTTGGGTTTGGGTTGGGTTCTGGGCATTATTTAAATACAAGGAAAAGAGGAGAGAGGAAGATGTTCCCAGTCGGACGGGCTGCACACTGTGTCCTCCCCGGCAGAATGGGGATGAGGAGCTGAAGTGCCTGGGATTTTCCGGGGCTCTGCCCGGGAGCCGTCGGGAGCAGTTCAAATCTGTAGGAGAGACTGGCTGGGTTTTCCTCCTGGCTTTGCAAATGGGAGAGTTCCCAGCGGCTGGAGAAGCTGGGGAGGCAGGAGATGCCCCATAGCTCTGGCCGGCTCCACCTCGTCCCTCATGCCTTAATTTCCCCTGTCTCCTATGGGGAGGCTGAAGTAAAGGGCATAAAACGTCCCAGTGACAGCCCTGCTCCCCCCAGGCACGTACACTGTGTCCTGCTGGGAGGCAAGGATGAGCCAAGGTGACTCTCCAACTTATTTCAGACCCTTCCTCTCGTTAAATGCCTGCGCCAGGCGGTTGTACAGTGAGCAGCAGGGACCCAGTAAAGCCGCTCACACCAATGTTTTATACTTTGAGAAGGTCTATTCCTTTAATGGGGATTCATTTAACTGGGCTCTGCCATCGTTAGGAGCCATAAAATGGCACCTTTTGGCTCCTGATTGGAAGGCCACGGTGCACGCAGCCCCCTCGTATCCAGCGCCGTCTGCTTTATTGTGCATTACTGCCTCTCACTCGGATTTAACCAATTTGATCCATGTCTAATACATAAATAAATAATCCAGCAGGAGGGTTCGGGTTAGATGACAACAGGCGGCTATAAAGCATGTTTCTCCCCGCCGGAGCCATCTGAGCCGGGCTCCGCACGCCCTCTCATGAGCAGAGCTGCTAATACAGCTGGGAGAGGGGGGCCTGGAGACCCGTGGGCTTCTCCGTTTTATTGAAACTTCATTGTTTGCTTTAGAGTTTTATTTTATGTTAAATAGACGCTGTATATTCCTTACAGAGGGGGCAATAAAGTTTCCGAGCTGGAGGAAATTGGCTTAGGAGCAGGGAGTGAGCCAGGGAGATGTGGGCAGGCAGGGAAGCGGTGGGGAGGATTTGGGGTGAGGAGGGGGTGAGGCAGCGCCCCACTTCCAGGGCAGCCCCAGGGATCAGCCCAGCTTGGGATTGGGGTCCGCAGGCACCCACAGATCTCACCCGGGGTTGATGCAGCCCCAGAGGACACAGGGTGAGGGTGGCTGGGTGGTCTGGAGCTGCCGGTGGTGCAGCGAGGGTGAGGGGCCACATCCCAGCCCAGGGATGGGGTGAGCAAACCCTGGAGACCACCAGGGCAGCTGTGCTGAGCATCCCAGATCTCAGCTGCTACCTGCCATCTGCAGCCCAGCACCGTGGGGTCTCCTCTGCCTCCCCACCATTGTGAGCCCATGGAGAATTTCTTTTCTCTTCAGGGGGATGATCCTGAACCACCCAAATTCAGGAATAGTGAGGGGGATGAACATGGCTCTTCTTAATTTACTGTTATTAGTTAAAAGAAACAGTGGGTAGTGCTGCATCATCCATCTGCCCCAAGTCACACCGCCTGTCCTGCAAACTGGGGAAGCTGGGATTTCACTGGGTCACTCCTGAAATGTGGCTGTTCCTGCTTTCCCTGTAAAACTGGAGAGCCCACAGCTGGGATTGGGATGCTCTCAGGCCAGTTGCTGTCCCGCTGCAGAACAGAGCCAGTCCCTGCCCCAGGGAGCGTGGGACGGGGAGAGAAATGGGGCTGTACCAGGAGAAAATCCCCCAGTTTCAGACCTCAGCTAGGACAGGGGCCAGGGCAGAGTGCAGACGATGCTGATGGAACTGATCAGAGCTAAAGCTTTCTCCCCTTTTTTCCTCCCTGCAGGCAAAAAGAAAGCGACTTTGTTTGACAGCCAGGCTCCAATCTGCCCCATCTGCCAGGTCCTCCTTCGCCCTGGGGAGTTGCAGGAGCACATGGAGCAGGAGCTGGAGAAGCTCACCCAGCTGAACATCAGGTAAGCAGCTCCCTGGGGTCCACCAGCATCCCCGGTTAGCCAGCCAGGGCACAGGAGATGGTGGTACCCACAGCTACCAGATATGTGATTTAGTGCTAGCCAGAGGGGCAGAAACCTTTCCCTGGAGTTCACTGCAGAAATGCTTCCCGGAGGGCAGAGACCTGGGGACGTGTGTTCGGGTGAGCAGCTCTCACGTTGCTCACATTCCATGATGGAGCAGGCTGGCAGCAATGGCGCATGCTTCCCCCTGGGCTGCCTTCAGCTCCTGTCTGCTTCCCCCAGCACAGCAAAGTCCCTCAATTAAAAAAAAGAAAAAAAAAAAAGAAAATAATAATTGCATTTTAACAGCTAGCAGTTATTTAGGAAATGGCTGCAGCCAAGGGTTGGCAGATCCCTGCCCCTGCCTTAATAAAATTCAGCAGCCTTGGAAAAGAGCATGTTTATTTCAATTATTAATGAATTCCCCGGTCATTAAAAGGTGAGGAAAAGAATCAAACGGCCGACTAGAAGCAAAGTTACGTCACCAGGTGGTAGGAGAGGAGGGAGACCGTGTGTGTCATTGTGTGTGAGGGGGTTAGTATGCCAGGGCAGGGGGGGTGCATGTGGCTGTGCATAGAATGGAGGATGCAGAATCCATCCCTGCCCAGCTTGGGTCTTCTTTGCAACTGAGCGATAGCTGTCGCAAATGAAGAGAGAAAGAGGGAGCTTTAGCCAGAGAAAGAGAGACCTCCCAAAGTGGGTCCAGGCTGAGATCTCCCAAATTTTGGCGCCCACAGCCCCAGGTTAAGACCCGCATCCCCCACGCGTTGCACGGGAAGATGGAGAAGGGGGAAGGGGGGGCAGGGAACAGGCAGCCCATTTATCCCCCGTGACACCCAGTCCCCTTGCAAGCGTAATTTATGGTGTAATTTGGGCCGCATCCAACTTAATAAAGGGCCACTGCAAATTAGTGAACAGGTTTAAATGAACAGAAGCAATTAGTGCTCGGAGGAGCCCATCAAAGAAGTTGGGCCAATATCAGAGTGAAACTGAAACCGCAAGCCAGGAGCGGAGGCTGGCTGGCGCGAGGCGGTGATGGGAAGGTGGCGTTTAATGGGAAAGGAAAGGAAACCCTAAATCATAAAGCATGACAAGGGCCATTGTGGGCCAGCTGACAAATGAAAAAGAATGGCAATATTCCTTTAAATAACAGCAGCAGTTAGAGAGGAGACAGCTCTCCCTGGCTTGCCCTCGCTTCCCCGGCCCGCTCCGCTCGGCCACGCAGGCGGTGAAGAAGAATCAGAGGTCTTTATTAATTATTAAATAACGACTCCCTCCGTAGCGTGATAGATAACGTTCAATCTAGTCGATGGATTCAGGCGATGGAGGCTAATCTGTAACACAGCCGCTCGGCACCGGGAGACTCTCTCCCAGTCCCGGAGGGGAGCGATGCGGGGGCCAGCCAGCAGCAGCAGGCAGGGCAGGCAGCAGGAGCAGGCAGCAGGAGCAGGCAGCAGTCGTGGGCAGCAATCGTGGGCAGCAGGAACACGAGTGGGTCGAGCTCCCGCGTGCTGCCCGGCTCCGACGGGGCGGCTCGGTGTTCTAGCTGGTGGCCCCTTCTCCCATTCCCCCACCTTTCCCCGCCTGGAGGAGCCGGGAGCAAGAACACATCAACAAGAGGAGAGAGAAACTAATAATGATCTCAAATAACCCAATAAACATAAAAATAAAATGTAGGCCTATAAACGTGATGGGCACCGGCAGCCCTGGCCGCTCCCTGCCAATACCGACTCGTTACTGAAATGGCTGAGCAGCTGTTACTTATCAGTCTGATGGGGAGAAGCGAACCGGGGGGCTGCTTTCCAAGGGCCTTTTTTTTTTTTTTGTTTAATTTAAAGAGGATGCAGCCAATCGTGGCTTGTGCTGTTAAGTTTTAATAAACCTTAATGATTTGCAACAAAATCATAAATTTCCAGCGCTGGGGGTTAGGAAGGCGGATCCCCTCCTGCCCGCCGAGCCTGCAGCACCAGAGACTTGATGGGCACCACATCAGCTCCCGGGCAGGGCACCGGGGCTCCCCAGTGTGCCGGGATGTCCCCCGAGGCAGCGTGGTGGTGGGGTCAGCCAGCCGAGATGCTGCCGTAGTGGCAGATCAAGAGGAGGGGAGAGGGTGGTGGAGAAGCAAGGTGGAGGGGTTGCCCCACACCATCACCTCCTGCAGGTGTTGAGGACTCACGTGGGCTTTCAGGCATCACCGGAGCGGGGAGCTCGGCGTCACTCAGAGGAGGGCAGAGGAAGGGAAGGAGGAAAACTCTTGTAGCAGGAAGTGTAGCGATAGGACAAGGGGTAATGATTTTAAATTGAAAGAGGAGAGATTTAGATTATATATTAGAAAGAAATTCTTTCCTGTGAGGGTGGGAGACAAGACACTGGAACAGGTTTCCCAGAGAAGCTGTGGATGCCCCATCCCTGGAGGTGTTCAAGGCCAGGCTGGATGGGGCTCTGAGCAACCTGCTCTAGTGGGAAATGTCTCTGCCCATGGCAGGGGGTGGGAACTCAATGATCCCTTCCAACTCTAACCATTCTATGATTCTATGGCTCTATGAAAAGGGATTCCTCCAGGTGATGACAGGAGCTTCATGGGGCTGAGGTACAAGAGAGCTGTAGGAGCCACCTGGATGATGCTACCCATGGTTGCAGATTACCAGGAGCCTGGGGTTGCATCCCACCCACACCAATGAACTCCTTGCTCACCTGGCAGGGATGGGGCTTGCCATCCCCCAGGGACAGGGACAGCCCTTCTTCCCCATGGGCAGTGCTGGTGTGACCATCCTGACCCCAGGGCAGGGACATCTCAAGATCTACCCAGCTAGAGCATCACATGACAAGGCAGGAGGAGCCATGCTGAGGCACAGGGCAGCACCCACCCGTGCCAAGGGGCTGTGCATGCCCAGGGGATGGACAGTGGCCATCGGACTGTTGATGAACATCACTCAGAAGGACCCCACCCTGGTGCAGGGTCAAGCTTTCCCCTGAAAAGCCAACTTGAGTGGGAACAAGGGACCTGAGTTTCTAGCTCTGCTGTCTTCTTGGTGTGTCCAGCCTCCCTTAGCACAGAGAGAGACCTGCTTGTGGTCACCCCACGGTTCCTCTAGCCCCTGTGGATCTGGCCAAGCCCCACGCACAGCTCCGTGTGGTGAGGCAAGGCTCTCTGAATGCAAATTTCATTTCTGAGCCACTGGCGCTGTTTCAAGAGCCGGCAGCCTCCGAGCCCTTCTCGGTGTTACATATGTAACAGCCTCATTGAACTTGACATGTCAAATTCAGGCCATTTGTGCAAAATCTCCCTTTAATAATACCGTTTCATTTCGCTCAAATGAGACTTGAATGCATGTAAAATGGAAAAGGATATTTAAGCGCTAACATTAGGCAGATGTCTTGCCAGAGGCCGATTGAATATATGAGATTTTGAAGTGCTTAACACGTTTTCGGTGCTCCCTCTTAGAATATGTCACCTGGCTTTCTTTTTTCTCCCCCTCCTTTCTCTTTTTCCTCCCCCTCTTTAAGTGAAGGGTATAAATTGAAAGAAAACAAAACTACAAGCCTTGGTTTTATGGGGTTTAACTCTTGCCGGGCAAGACTGTTGGTATTCCTCCTCCAAAGAGGAATTACCTCGTAGCTCACCTCCGTGCAGCACAAGCACAAAGCAGCCGAGAGCCCCCGGTGCTGTGCGGAAGGGATGCTCTCCTTGTGCTGCACCTACAGCTCAGAGAGCAAAAGGTGCCTGTCCCCAGCTGAGCAGCTAAGTGCCACCAAGGCAAAAAATAGGAAATATTAACAGCGACCCTCTGTGTACGCCTATGCCCTGTGCCCCAGCCAGAGGGGGGGGGCTGCAGAATACATGAATATTCCTGCCGTGCATGCATGAAGCTTAGCTGGGCGCTAGATGCAGGTCTCCTCTCCCCACTGGATTTATATTCACCTGTTTTACACCTCATCCGTATTAAAGGCTTGCAGTAAAGCACGCTGAAATGTGAGACTCTTTCTGGAGCTGTCAGTGGCCCCAGCTCCAAGCTTCTGCTGGTGCTTCATCTGCAGACGCATCTCCCCAGCAGGCACCACAGGCACAACGTTCACGAGCAGCACCCGTGGGTGTCCCTCAGGACAGGCACACACACATCCCCATGTGCATACGAGTGTATCGCTGTGTATGTCACTGCAGGGGACTATAAGCAGAGGTGGTGGTGCACAGGAGAACCCTGAAACTCTGCCTGCTGCTCTCCAGGCAGTGACAACCTGCTGCAAGGGGACGATGGGGGAGGCTGGGCAGAGAAAGAACAGGTTTGCAGCTGTGGTTTGAGCTTGGCGTGGGAGGGAAGATGAGTTTGAGGACAAAAGACAAAAGAGGGGAGAAGGAGGCAGTAGGAGCTGTGGAGTGCACTCAGCTGATGGCCCCCGATGGGTCCATGATGCTTTCTGAGCCCCTGGCTGGAGTCTGGGGAAGAAGCATTTATTGGCCATTTAAAAAACCTTAGGAAGTCCCATTACAAATATTACAGTTGCTGAGTCAAGCACCTGAAGTTTGGGAAATGTGCCTTTTTAGTTTGCATGTGTGCTCCTTTCCTCTCACTGTTCTTAACCCTCCCTCCCTTGGCAGCTGGGGTGGAAGCATAAAGTGCTGCCTCAGTTCCTGGCACCACGCTGAGCATCCTCACCGGCCTGGTGGGGGAGGCTTCAGCTTAAGGTTTATTTATGCAGAAGGCACAGAGGTAGCTCTTCTGGGGGGACAGAAGCAGCTCTGGGCATGGTGGGATAAGGAATAAGGAGGAAGCTGGCAATATAGCGAAAATATGAAGGCTGTGGGAGATGGTCAGGTCACTCCGGGCAGGGTCACTGTCCTTGAGGGATGGCTCCAGGCATCTGGAGACACATCCTGGATTTCACATCCTTTCACAGGCTGCTTTCCCAATATTTTGAGGTCTTTCTTATTAAAGTCATCCCATGCTAACAACCGAGAATCT